TGACAGTGCCACCCTGCCCGCCACAGGGGCCCCTTGTGGCTTCGGATGGCGACCACGGGAAATCAGAACCATATTCAGGTTTTTTCGCGTCTCCGTTCCCCCCCTCGCTCTCTCCCCCCCCTCTTCCGCCCGATCTCGCCGTCGGCTGCGGAGCGCCCTGTCCGCATGGTGAAGCCTCATGTCGCCATCTCGGGCGGCCCACACCACCAGAGCGGCCGAGGCCAGGGGTCCTCCTGCCCAATGGGTAGAGGTGGTGCCAACGTGCAGGCCTTCCAGAATATGCCTCCTCAGACCTCTGACAGAAGGGAGGGGCAAGGAGACGGGACGGGACGACGCAGGACTGCTGGACACGAGCGGCAGTAAAAGCAGAAGAGGAGATGAAGGGAGGAACGAGGAGACAGGAGGCAACGTGGCACTGGAAGGACAAGAGAAGTGCGGGCCTCTTCTTCGCGCTGCGCGCCTATGGCGCCCGTCACATCACTACGGCTACAGCTCCCCCGCCCGGACGAACGCGACCAGGGGGGTGTGGGGGGGCATGGCGCGCTGGCGCGCGCGAGCGAAGGAAAGGCATCATGCCACTTGGAAGCGGATCGTGCAGAGGACACGGTCCCAGACCCACCTGTGCTTGGTTTGACTCGACACGCAGACGTCAGAGCTCTCGATTCCTTCCTGAATGTATGCCTTTTCATGCCAAATCGTTGATTGATTGCCCTGGGGCCCGCAGGAGGCCCTCTGGAGCCGAAAACAGCGAACAACAATCCGATCGGTTCTTGCCCAACCCACCGATGTTGAGTTGGGTCCTCGTTTCGCACCCAGAGCGCCCCGCGTCCTCCTTACTCATCCGTGCTCCTCCCTCCCATCCATGCCGCACGCCTGCGCCGGCACACCCGTCAAAGCTTCGTGGCCCCATCGGGGGACTGCACCTGCGGTCTCGGTGGACGCAGACGCCTGGCGGCACCCGCGCCCACTTCGCCGCGCCCCTGACGAGGACCGCGGCCCCCTGGACAAACCTCCCTTTAGCAAACCTCCCCTTAGTGAACACGGCCTGGACCCGCAAAAACGACGGCCGCGACGCCCTCTCGCGAACCGAAAACGGCCAAGGGTCAGGGTAGGAGGTCTGCCCACCCCCCCGACCCATGGCAGGCTCCGACGCCTGGCGACATCGCGCCCACTCCGGCACACCTCCCTGCGAGGCTCGTGGCTCCCTCGGGGGCTCCGCCTGCGGCCTCGGCGGGGCGCAGACGCGCGGCAGCACCGGGCAACCTCGACACACCCCTCGCGAGCATCACGGCCCCACGGGGAGCTTCCCCCGTGCTCTCAGTCGAAAGCTGGGCGAGGGCTGCTAAAACCGTGGCTGCTAAAACGGCCCTCGCGGAAGGAAAAAGCAACCTCGCGGCATGAGGCGCGGCACGCGAAACAGTCAACGGGCTTCTTCCCGGAAGGACCAAGACAACTTCCCAGAGGTCGATTTTAGCAGCCACGGATTTAGCAGCCCTTGCCCGGCTTCCGACTCAGGTGGGCGCAGACGCATGGCGGCACCGCGCCAATCTCGCCAGACCCCTCGGGAGACCGCACCGCGCCCACTGAGGCACAGCACACTCGCGTGGACCGTGCCCCTGCAGGGATCGCCACCTACGACCCCAGCGGGCGGGTCAGCATGCGGCCCCGCCGCCCACTTCGGCACACGGCCCACGAGGGCCGTGCCCCCAGGCGGGAACTCCACCTGTGGCTCCGGTGTGCCAGATCGCATGGCGGCGCCGCCCACGTCGGCACATTCCTCGCAAGCCTCCTGACCCCGGGAGCTTCGCCAACGGACCCAGAGAGAGGGCTCGCAGGGCGGCGCAGCCCAAGTCGGCGCACCCCTCGTGAAGCCACCGCTCAATTGGACCACGCACCGTCCGAAGCTCGGCTCGCCTCAGCGCGCCTCAGCGCGCCTGGTCTGCCGGCGCCCCATCGGTGCCGGCCCTTCCGCGGCGCGCGTCCTGTGAGGAGAGCCGCGCCCTGGCCCCTCGCAGCTGTGCATGGCTGGGTCCGTTCGCCAGGTGGCTTCCAATACCCACGCCGAAGGTGTGGCGCGGAAGGGGCCAGAACCATGAAGACGTCCAGTCAGAAGCCTCGGCCCTGGATTCTGCTGGGAGACACCAGCGGTCCGGGGCTGGCGGCTCCCCCTGCGGGAAGATCGCGGGCAGGTCGCGCACGCGCGCTGGCCACCCGCATGCCCCTTCGCGCTGGGCCAGTCGCCGCCGATCGAAGCGTAAGCCCCGTCGGCCCCCACGGCCCTAGGTTCCCGCTGCGGGGGGAGGAGGGCGAAGAGGGGGAGAAGGCGATCCCCGACCCTCGAGGTCTGAAGGGCTTGAAGTCCCTGGGCGCTTCTCGCCCTTCTGGGGCCCCCCAGGGCCCTCTCGTCGCCACGGCGGGCTGCCCATCTGCTTCCTGGCCAAAACGCACCCCTGGAGCACTTCAGCAGGAGAACGCAGGCACCGACTCGAAGGCCTTGCAACATCAAGGCGGACTGTTGTTCGCCGTGCTCGGCGGCGGTGTACAAACATCGAGGATGAAAACCATGTTCCGGTCCCGCACTGGGATTCGCGCAAGAAAACGGATTATGGTCTATACGGCATCCTGGTGTATACATGTCTTGTTGCTTCCACAGGAGAACGGGGAACAAGTATACACCACACCACCCCGATGTCGTCCCCGACCCTAAAAAAGAGCCCTGGGATTAAAAAAAAAAAACGCCCGCCACTGGTAATGCATGTGCTCCAGTTTCCGGCATGTTCTCACGAGGGGGGGGGAGAGCTCTGGAGCCCGCATCTCGAGCAATCACGGCACACGGAGGTCTGGGAAGGAGCGGGGCGAATGGGCGAGTGAGCAGGGCGCTCCTCCGAGCGGCTCCCTGAAATCCAGACGAGGAGAACGCCAGCGTGCAGACGTCTTGCCTAAGGCCGGGCGGCGTGAGTCGCAAGCGATGAGGAGCAACGAGCATGCCCCTAATCCTTGAGCAGGGCCCCTGGTGAGGAGGGCCGAAAACATGTTGGATGGGGGGGTCCTCTGTTTCGCACACGTCTCTGACGAAGCCACCCATCTGTTTAGGGATATCCCTAAAATTCGCCGACTGAAGTTAGGCCACGGATTCATGGCGTAATTAGTTATTAGCGTTAGGGGCTGTATGATGCCTAAGAAACAAGAAGGAGCGGCAAGGCAACCTCCAGAGCGGCTCCCCGAAGCCCTCCCGACGAGCGCGGACGCCATCGCGCGCGCCGGAGCGGCATCAGGAGAAGGCCCGGCAAGCGAGCTCAGGCGGCGAGGAACCTCCAGGCGACGGCCTGGACCTGTGGGGCACAAAGGCACCGATGCTCCGACGAAGCCAGAACGAGGGTAGAATCGGGTGAAGATATATCGAGGATCTCTGAAAGCCGGCGGCTCTGGAAGATGCCTCGGGCGCAGCCGCCTTCTCAGAGCGTTCCAGAACGCCCTGAGAGCGTTCTGGAACGCTCTGGTACGGATTTGTCCTCGGCCTATCGCGTTCCGAATTGTACCGATACAGCTGTTTCCTAGACCTCTCCCGGGGTGCACTCGGGCCGGAATCTCGGGGAGAACCCAACCGTGGCGAATAGAGATCCCCAGGACCCTGGGGGATACGACGTCGCGAAACTATTGAAATATCGTGAAAGCCACGACCAGAGCACTAGATCGTATCTGTCTTCGCTATGTTTTGAGTCGGATCGGTCTCTGATTGTCCAGGGCCTCGGCCCCTGGCGCAGACGCCCAGCTCAAAAAAATGAGACGCCCAGATCTCATGGGGCGAGCAGCGGTAACGATACCGCTCCATTTTCAATCTACAAAATACTAACGGAAGGTGGCCCCCATGGCGCCCAAGAGCGCGCCCCATCGCGCGCAAAGCGTATAGGACCCTCACATGGCGCTGTTGGGCGCTATTGTTGGGCGCTTTTTGAGCGCTACTCGGCGCTACTCGGCACTGTGGAACGCTAGTTGGCGCTATCCGTGATTTACTATGTTCGGAGGCGTCCAAGAGGGGGCGTCCCAGATGGGGGTCGCAAATCATGGCCCGAGGCATGTGCGCGGCCCAGGGGGGAGTGTCAGGGGACGTATTCGAATAAGAACAGGGGGGCATGACATCTGGGGAGATCTCATGGCCCAGGTGATCAAATCCACCCCCCTTAACTAGTCATCACCCTCTGGACCCTTCCTCTTCTTGGCGGTGCGCACAGGGGGGTAGGGGGAAAGATGGAAGGAGTCTCAGAAAGAGACTGCTCTATACAGGCGCCAGCCCCTACATCTGTAGACAAGGCCCGCACCTTCTGAGAAGCAGGGGTGCTTCTGGGAAGCCTTTCCTCTGCGCGCGGCTGGTCTTCTAGAGGACTCCTGGATGGAGTCGGAGTAGATGGGGTCGGAGGATCGCGCCGCATCGCCAATGCATCGGCGATACATCGCCGATGCATCGGCAATGCATCGACGACGTCGGCGAGGCATCGGCGCCATCGGCGTGGAGAAAATCGGGCTCCACATCGAGCCGCATCGCCGACCGATGCATCGGCGATGCGGCGCGATCCTCCAACCCCATCTACTCCAACTGCGTCTAGGAGGCCCAGGTGGTCGTCCTCCCCCTCCTCCTCCTCCTCCTCCTCCTCCTCCTCCTCCTCCTCCTCCTCCTCCTCCATTTCCTCCTCTCCTCCTCCTCCTCCTCCTCCTCCTCTCCCTCCTCCTCCTCCCTCCTCCTCCTCCTCCTCCTCCTCCTCCCTCCCCCTCCTCCCCCTCCTCCTCCATTTCCTCCTCCTCTTCCACTTCCTCCTCCTCCTCCTCCTCCTCCATTTCCTCCTCCTCCTCCTCCTCCTCCTCCTCCTCCTCCTCCTCCTCCTCCATTTCCTCCTCCTCCTCCTCCTCCTCCTCCTCCTCCTCCTCCTCCTCCTCCTCCTCCTCCTCCTCCTCCTCCTCCTCCTCCTCCCCGGGGAGACCTCCGCCGCCGTGGCTCCCCCGCGTCAGCCCAGGCCCGCCCGCGGCGGCTCCGGCGGCCACGCGCCTCCGTCCGCCCCCGCGCGGGCCAGGCCGTACGGGTACGCCCTGCCCGCGGCCTTTTCCGGCAGAAGCCCGGGCCTGGGCGGGGGGCGCATCCACTGGAGGCGGCGGCCGAAAATTGCGCGTCCGACCATGGACCCCTCGTTGCCCGTCTCCTCGGGGCCGTTTTCGGCGGTCTTCGGCGGTCTTCGGACGGTCTTCGGCGAACCTCCGACGGTCTGCGGCGGTTTCTGGCGGTCTCTGGTGGTTCCCAGCCGTCTTCGGCGCGAAAGCTGGATGGTTGCGTTTAATAAGGGGTCCAGAATCGAACACCTTAAAAGGTGAAAAGGAGAAGGCCCACGAGAGGTCTGCGGCGTCTTCGGGGAAGGCTCATAGCACTTCTCAGAAGGCTGGAAGGGGCTTCCAAGCCTTCTGAAACGGCCTTGTCCTTCGCACTTCACCCCTTGGCTCGCCGCCGACCATTGGAGGCGCTTTTTACGTAGATTCTGGCAAGTCTGCTTGCACGGAGGGGGAGTGGGGGGGGAGCGTGGCGAGGCCCGACAGGAAATCTGGACTTCACGCAAGCCAGCATTGACTTGCACGACTGGTCGGCCCAGCGCTATCTCGAAAGGCGACAGAGGGGGGTGAGGGGGGGGGGGGGAATGCCGTGCAAGTGTTTCTGGACGAAAAACATGCGCCATAATATTTTTGGCGCTCCGAGCGGAGTTCTTGGATCAGCGCTGAGCTGGGCCCCCCCTCCCTGTCGCGCTGAGCGCGCCAGGGGCGGCGCAAGAGGCGCCGCCGGGGAGGCCCAGGCGCGGATCCAAGAAATCAGCACGGAACGCTACAAATTTATGCTGATGGCGTTTCCTCTTCAAGAGGAGCTGGCCTGCCAGAGGTTGCCCCGCGAACGCGCCTTGCCCCTCGGTGGCCCTGGGGGGCCCACACAGAGCCCTGGGGCAACTCAGGAATCTCAGAGCTCGACCAACGCGCCCTTCTATTGGAGGTTGGGGGGTGAGATCGCAGTGTGATGGAGTCCCCCCGCCGGGAAATCGAGTTTCGAGTTCGTGTTCGTGCCGTGCGCGCGGGCGTGGCGAAGCTGCGTGGGCCAGCGAGAGGAATTCACTCTGCTGTCCCTAGGGGTCCGCCACCACAAATGTCCCCCCCCCCCGGCCTTGTCAAGCGGTAGCCCACGTTGTCCAGTCGGTTGCCCGCCGGTTGCTCATCATGGTTGCCCATCACGGTTGCTCATCATGGTTGCTCATCATTGTCCCGCCGGTTGCTCATCATGGTTGCTCATCATTGTCTCACCGGTTGCTCATCATGGTTGCTCATCATGGTTGCTCATCATGGTTGTTCATCATTGTCCCACCGGTTGCTCATCATGGTTGCTCATCATTGTCCCGCCGGTTTCTCATCATGGCTGCTCATCATGGTTGCTCATCATGGTTGCTCATCATTGCCCCGCCGGTTGCTCATCACGGTTGCTCATCATTGTCCCGCTGGTTGCCCATCATGGTTGCCCATCATGGTTGTTCATCATGGTTGCTCATCATTGCCCCGCCGGTTGCTCATCATGGTTGCTCATCATGGTTGCTCATCATGGGACACCATCATGGTTGCTCATCATGGGCGACCTTATCTTGCTTCTCCTCCTCGCATCCTTCCTTGAATTGTTTTATTTTAATGTCTAACCTAAGTACTTAGATCTTTAGTTCGGCTCAAGGGCTCAGGCCATGCAACGCAAGTCGGTCAGCTCGTCGCTTTTTTGCTAGGACGAAGGCTCGATTGCCATTCATCGCCCCCCTCCTCCTCTCGTCCCCCCTCAGAGGATGGCGGCCTCTTTCATTTGGCATCATGGGCCGGGGGGGCCGTTCTTGGACCACTTAGTCGTCAGAGGACAAATAAATGCCGTCATTTATTGGCCACGCCGTCCTTCCAGTTCCCCTGCTTCTGTGAATTTGCATTTATCAGCATCTCCTCATCGTCATCACCACCGTCACCATCATCATCATGACCGTCTTCTTCTTCATCCACCTCGTCCTCCTCCTCCTCCTCCTCCTCCTTCTCCTCCTCCTCCTCCGCCTCCTCCTCCTCCTTATCCTGCCCCTCAGTGTCCTCCTCCTCCGGCTCAAGGCGCCCACTGCGGTCGCGCTACCCCCCCAGGGCGCCCTCTTCGCGCATTTCTGCGGCCGGGCTATCCACGAAATGGGGGGCCGCGTGGATGACATGAAGAAGGCGGAGCTCATGAAGTACGCTGCCAATCTTGGAATCCCCACCAGGAAGCCGGCGGCGCCGACGCAGTGGCGCGCAGTCGAAGACGTGCGCGAGGATTGCAAGCTGCGGGAGGCCGCTCAGCGGCAGCCTTCCCTGGCGCGCGCGGGCGAGCAAGGCGCTGCCTGCTCCGACTTGGCGGCGCCGTCCATTTCACATGGGTCCGCGTCGGTGCAAGCCCCGGCGCGCGTGGGCGAGCCAGGCGCTGCCAGCTCCGGCCTGGCCGCGCCGTCCGTTTCACGCGGGCCCGCGTCGGTGGGGGCACCAGGTGCGCGCGCGGGCGGGTCCGGCTCTTCCAGTTTGAGCCAGGCACAGGTAGCGCCGTCCGCCCCCACCACGGTTGCACGGAAACCGGTTGTGGGGGCGGCCGATGTCACCTCCAGCGACGTGCGGAACATGAACCGGAATGAGTTGCGTGCACTGGCGACCCCGTTGGGGGTCGGGACTCGGGAGAACACAAAGAGCTCGGAGGCGCTCTGGGCGGCGTGCTGTCGCGCCCTCCCGCAGGCCCCGCAGCGACAGCACTCCCGGGCGGGCGCGAGTGAGCCAGGCGCTGCCAGCTCCGACCTGGCGGCGCCAGCAGCTTCACGTGAGCACCACGTTCATCACATTCATCACACTTGTCGTCATGAGCCACCCCCCTCCCCCCACCCCCCCACAACCTCCTTATCACCCGCAGGGTGGTCGTATTAGGTACATATATATACACGTACATACATATACATATACATATACATATACATATACATATACATATACATATACATATACATATACATATATAAATGTATATATATATATATATATATCACCCCCCTATCAGTGCTTGCACTGAAGGGGTCCTAGCAGAGATTGAATGATTTGACGAAGGTACCAGGCCGATTTCAGTGGGCGGCTGGGTTCCCGGATTCCCGGTTCCCTGTTCCCGGGTTCCCGGTTGATGGTTCCTGGCCGATTTTAGTGGGCGGGGGGGTTCCCGTGTTTCTGGGTTCCCGGGTTCCTGGTCGATCTCCTCATCGATCGGCCCCACCATCGACCTCATTACCCACGTCTCTATCGGTTTCACTATCGATCATACTACCGATCTCAATATCAATACCACAATCAACCCCATTATAGATCGCACGAACGATCTCACGATCGATCTAACTGAATCGACTTCACTATCGGTTGCACGATAGACCTTACTATCGTCCTTACTACCGATCCCACGATCGATCTCACATTATCTATCTCAGGATCGATCTCTCACTAATGTTCAAACCATCTACTCATTGGGGTTCTTCTCTCGTGTAATCGCAAGAACTCTTTGATCGTATGTGTCGACTGGGCCGCGGTTCGCAGGATTCCGACGCAGCGTAATTTACAAGGGATCGTGGCCCTGGGAGTGCGGACGCAGCGTAACTTACGATGAATCGTGGCCCTGGGAGCGCGGACGCAGCGCAATTTATCAGGGGGACGTAAGACCTGGGTACAGGGGACTCGGAAATCCCCGACGAGGTCGTCAAAAAAATGACGAGGCCGAGCCTGCATTTTGACGAGGCCTCCCGCTGCAGACATCCCACGAAACTCCTCCTCGTCAAAATCCGAGGCGCGGTCGTCAAAAAATATGGCGAACCCGAGTCCTGGCAAACCCGGGTCTTACGCTCCCCCGAATTTAGTATGGATCGTGGCCCTGGGAGCGTGGACGCAGCGTAATTTACGAGGGATCCTGGCCCTGGGGCGGGGGGGGCTGACACAGTGTATTGTACTGGGAATCCTAGCCATGGGAGCGCGGACACAGCGTGATTCACAAGGGAGCGTGGCCCGAGCGGGGATAAACAGGAACCGACCAATGGTATACCAGCGCCAATGCTGAAGTCAACCTGCCTCGAATTCTCAACCTGACACATGGAAAGAGGAGTAAGAGGAGGAGGAGGAGGAGGAAAAGATATCCGCGGATGGCGTTCGCCTTTGTCCGCGTCTGGAACCCCTCGACGTGGGCTCCGTCGATCTGGGATGAAACTCTTGCATTGCTCTGGGGACTGCTTGCGGGCATGTTGAGCATGCTGTTCCAGTGGTTAGGGCAAGATGGATGCTTCCAAAGGACAGGGGCAAGAGTGCCCTGAGCCCCCCAGGGAGGCGAAGCAGACCTGGTGGTCCGATCGCCTGCGCGGGCTCCACATCACAGCCGCCAGGCAGTGCCCACACACGGGGCGGGCCGGCTCAGGACACGGCGCGGGCACATGCAGGGCCAGGGCCTTCCGGGGACCCCACCTTGCTCGATAAACCACCCGCGCGCCCCGCGCACGGCTGGGCTGGGAGAGGCGAGTCTGCCCGGGCCCCCCCGCGCCCCACGAAGTGCCATAACAACCCCCCCTCACACTGGGCGCTTCGGCCTCCCGAAGCCGGCCTGCTACTCCAATCCGCCCCCCCCCCCCCGGCCCTCCAAAGCCGGACAGCTGAGGCAACGGTTGCTCCCCCGCTTGGCAGCAAGCCGCTCAGAATCGATCCCAGGCCCCCTTCCAGGTCCATCTGGCCCCGCGTTCCGAGGCGGGTTCTGCCGTGGCGGCGAGAAAAGAGCCTCCAGCAGGTCCCACAGGGACCCACAGAAACGCCAGAGACGGCCGACGTCGTCTCCACGGGCCCTCCTCCGATGGCCCCCCTGCTCCTCCGAGAGGCGCCTCCAGGCACGGGCGCCTCGGGGCCCCCGGCAGGGGGAAGCGGTCCTCGTGCTACGGGCCTCGGAGCAAGTTAGCGAACACGCGTGCCACATTCCTCCGTCGACGCCTCCCCCTCCCCCCAAATGCTCAAAGTTGGCGGTGGGTCTGATGAGATGCACTTCGACCGCAGTCTCCCCCGCGCGTGCCAGCATGGAGTTTTGGGGGGAGGGGGGGGGGGGAGTTTGAAGGGGCCCTGGGGCACACAAATAAATACACACAAATAACCGGATTCCCCATATTTTCCTATATCTTCTGGGTTTTTGCCTTCCCCCCCACTTCCCATACTTTCCCATATTTTCTGGGGAACCGACGATTCATTGTGTCTGTGTGTTTCTTTCCCTCCTGAATTGAGTCTTGGGGGGGAGGGGGGCAGTGTTCGGTAATCGCTGCCCTCTGCCGTGCCATCTGGAGCGCGGAGGGAGAGACGACGGGGCGCTGCTGGCCAGGGCGATCCTTGGACACGAGCAGGTCCCCCGACCCCGATCGCAGGCACAGGCCGCAAACCGTAGCCCCGCAGGAGCCCCCAAAGGGTCCTCGCAGTGGTCTGAGGGGGTGAGGCAACAGCTGCGACACATCACTTTTGGGAGCCCCAGCGAATGGCTTGCATCGGCGCCCCAAAGGGTCCTCGCAATGGTCTGAAGGGGTGAGGCAACAGCCACGACACATCACTTTTGGGAGCCCCAGCGAATGGCTTGCATCGGCGCTGGATTCCCCTCCCTGGCGCGCGAAGCGCGTCAGAGGCTGCGCCGAAGGCGCCGTCAGCGGAGCCCGGCGCCCATCCAAGAAATCCGCGCGAACCTCCGAGCATTCATTCGCCGCCCGACAGGTGTGGGTTGTCCGATGTGAATATGAGAGCTCCCGACCCGGCCGCCAGGCCCCGAGTGTGCCAGTGCTTCATGGGTACCCCGCCTCGCGATCGTGGGTGGGGATCGCTCGAAACAACATAGTGTGCATGCTGCTTCTCAGTATTCGATCATGCGTCTTCCGATGATCTTCCGAACGTGTGTGAGAGCCAACACGTGCCTGTCCAACGAGGCCCGTCAGCACGACGCTGGCGGTGCAATGAGGGCCCCAACGCAGGCTGGGTGCGATCGGCGGAAGGCGCGCGTGGCCGATGCCGGAGAAACCCTGAGCCAATGCATGCTGCCATCTCTTGCGGGCGGCCTCCGCCGGCCTTCACAAAGATGCCAACTCTTGCGCCAATACATGCCGATTCTTGCGCCAACTCTTGCCGCCCTTGCGGGCGGTCTCCGCCATCTCTTGCTGCCAATACATGGTTTACGTCGGCCGGCCTCCGCCGGCCTTCCGCCTGCGGAGCTTCCTCGTTCTACTACCGCCGCCCTCCGGCGCCTGCCGCCGAGAAGGAAATGCCAACTCCTCCTTTTGATCCTCGACGGCGAGGCCGTTTCTGGCACGCCTCACATTGGGCTCACACACGTCCTGAAGATCTGCTCTTCTTCGATTCAGCGTCTTCGGGTGATCCTCAGAGCGTGTGCCTGAGCCAACACGTGCTTGTCCACCAGGGCCCTCCGATGCGGCGTTTTAATGAGGGCCGACGCAGGCTGGGGACACCAAAAGGTGCCAATACCGCTGGTCTCCGAACCTCTTCCGGGGAGCGTTCTGGGTAGAACCTCGAGGCGAGTCCAGCCGTGAGGCACGAGGGGCTCCCAGGAGGCTCGAAAAAGGCGAAAGAGAGCAAGGGTAGCGGTGTGGGTACCTCTCATCCTCTGACGAACGAGGGAAACACACACACATGAGGCTAGCACACGTCCTGAGGATCATCGAGTCTTGGCCGCGCCTGCTAGCAGCCCCCCCCAGATGGCGACATCCAAACCCTACCCCCCCAACAATCGATCATCCTGAATCGATGGGAGGCGTGGTAGACTTCGGATTTCCCCACGCGTTCGGCGAATTCCGAACCCCACCCCCGCCGCCCGTTGAGTTGCCCGAATCGTTGATCGGCGAGGGTGAGCTTCGGATGCCGCCGCCGCCCCCCCCCCCCCCCCGCGCCGCGGGGCCTGAGGCCCCGCGACGCCGACGTGGGCCGCAGCCGCGGGAGCTCGACGACGCGCGCAGGGTGCCGCGCCCGGGCCTCGTCCTCTCGGCGGCGACGCGCAAGGGGGGGTGGGGCCGGAGGAGAGCCGAATCACCCCGCGCGCGCCGTGAAGAGAATCTCGTCTTAGGTCGGGCGTGTCCCCCTACAGGCGGACTTTGGAAGAAAAATAAAAAACATTCGAAAAATATCGAAAAGGTCAAAACATCTTTTTATATCTATATATATATATATATAAGAAAAAATCGTCCCCTGACTTTTTTTTGACTATGTTTGAACATTCCTTCTGTCGAGGGACAGGCCCGACTCAACTCTTGGCCACGTTCGGCCTCTGAAGGCCCCTGCCGGGCCCAGGGGGCTGGCGAACAAAGACACATGTAGGGAAAGCCCGTCCCGGTGGACGGGTCGAGACATATTCGGGTCGACGAAGGAAGTCATACAGTAGGGGCCCAGCCACAAGAAACCTTCCACAAGAAACCCAACTCTGAGACCCCAGGACATCCATTGACTTTTGGTGACGGAGCGTCACCCTTTCCATGGCAAAACCATCGAAACCCAGGAAACTCAGGATACCCTGGAGGCAAGCAGGAAGATTCTTGGCATGGGCATCCACTGTACTTGGATCACTGCTGAGATCACTAAGGGAATAGGTGGGTGACTTGCCTACCCTAGCTTATGAACATGTTACACAGGCCCCGAGAGGCTTCAAGGGGTAAGTCAACTCTGCTAAATGGGCTCCGCCCTTTTCGCCCAAACCTTTGCCCTCCGTAAGCCGGCTAGGGCACTTGCAACCCACTGAAAAGTTAGAGTAGACAAGATTAAACCACATTGACATCCACACACCCCTATCCCCTTAGCAATCACAGCGGTGACCCAAGTGCATCCGTGGGAACGATTAATGGCAGTTGAAGCGGACGGATTCAGAAGCCACTTAGCTTGATGAGGCCAGGTCGAGTCAAGGAGTAAGTCCGATTCAGCGGGATTGAGCGGAATCAAACGGATGTATGCACCATTGGCAGGTTAGGTCGGTTTTAGGCCACGGATACATACCAGCGACGATGCTGGATTTAACCTCCCAGGAGTTGTGTCCTAAGGAGAGTGTTGAGGATGAGGATGGGCAGTGTGGTGGAAGATGTGTTAGGGATGAGGAGGATTAGGACCCCGATCTCCGAGGATACATGGCGCTTGTTCAGGGTCGGTGAGTTTTTCATCGGTTTCGGCCTCTGGCCCCCGTCATTGGGCCCCAAGACTATCACACATGTATCCAGGACGAAGGCCACTCGCGGGGAAGGGGTTGGGACTACTGGGGCCGCGCACTTAAAAAATACATTGTCAGAAGTCTGGGGATGGTGGAGCGAGGTATGGTGATAGGGGATGAGGATGGGCAGGAGGGAAGACAGAACGAGACGATGGTTAGATGAATTCTATACATTCGGATCGTCAAGCAGAAGGGAGGGGGCGGCCTTTTCCAAGAAGGCGGCGGGGGGCCTTCCAGGAAGCCGGGGGGGGCCGTCCGGGAAGCCCTCAAGCCCAAGCGTCGCAGACGCCATCGCGGGCCAGCTGCTGGGCCCCAGGGCATTCGAACAGGACTTGGCGTGCAGAAACGGGCCCCGATGGGAAGAGGCCGAGATCCGCAGGGGGGCTCCTCCTCCTCCTCCTCCTCCTCCTCCTCCTCCTCCTCCTCCTCCTACTCCTCCTCCTCCTCCTCCTCCTCCTCCTCCTCCTCCTCCTCCTCCTCCTCCTCCACGTCCTGAGGAAACTGCGACGGTCGAGGGAAGGGCATGCAGCGTGTACACCCACCGCGCTGCTGAGCCCCAAAACCCTCGAGGACTTCTCGGAGAGATGCATGTGCCCGCGGGGACAAGACGCTCGACGCCCGCAGCGGCCGGAGCAGCCGGGCCAAGGAAGCGAGGTTTCGTCGGCTGCGCGCAAGAGGTGACCCCTGGTGCGCGGCTTTCGGGGCACTTGCAACCCACTGATAAGCTAGGCCAGGCCAGGCCAGGCCAGATACCCCCCCCTCTGTCCCCGTATAGCAACCTCAGCAGTGATCCAATAGCCTCGACCCTCGAGGTACGAAGTTCGAAGGGGCGGCGCCGGCCCCACTGGCCCCCAACTGCCCCGCCGCATCCGACGAGCCCTCGATCCTCGAGGCTCGAAGCAGAGCCTCGATCATCGCAGCAGAGCCGTTCTCCTCGAGGCTCGACGTTCGAAGGCGAGGCGCGGGCTCCTCTGGCCCCCACTGCTCCGCTGGGGCCGCCGCGGCCTTTGTTGGACGCCCGAAGTTGGTTACGGAAATCATGGGTGCGATGCCCAACAGCAGGTGTTGTCCAAAAACCCGACAGCGACCGCTGCGGGGCAGGCGGTCCCCCGTCTCCAACGGACAGCGTCCACGGGGACACCGGCAGCGAGCCCTGATCAAAATGGACAAGGACTGCTGTTGAACGTTGCATGATGGGACTGTCTTTCGCCACCACCACCATAAGTTGGGGGGGGAAGGAAGTGGAGGACGAGGAGGAGGAGGAGGACGAGGAGGAGGAGGAGGAGGAGGAGGAGGAGGAGGAGGAGGACCCCCTCCCCCTCCACCTTCTGGTGGTGGTGGTGGTGGAAAAACAGGCCCATCGTTGCACCCGTCCTCTTCGCACCCGTCTCGAGTCGTCCCCGGCCTTCGCGCCGCCCTCGCGGCGCGGCACGGGCCGCGGCGGCTGCTCGGGCGGGCAGCCGCAGGCGGGCCTGCGCCGCGCGGGCGCCTCGGGGCCCGCGCGGCCGCCTCGCGCGTCGCGTGCGGGCTCCGCGGGAGGGCTCCTGGGAAGGGGGAGGAGGGGGAGGAGGAGGAGGATGGGTGAGGAGGAGGAGGAGGAGAGGGGAGAGGAGCAGGATGAGGAGCAGGGGGGTGGGGAGGGGGAGGGGAGGGGAGGAGAAGGAGGAGGAGGGGAGGAGAGAGAGGAGGAGGGAGGAGGCTCGGAGGAGGACGAATGAGGAGGAGGAGATAGGAGGAAGCAGGAGGAGGATGGGAGGGGGGGGAAGGGGGGAAGGAGGAGAGGGGGAGGAGGATGAGCAGTGAGGAGTAGGAGAGGAGGAGAGGAGGAGGAGGAGGAGGAGGGAAGGAGAAGGAGGACGGGAGGACGAGGAGAGTAGGAGGAGGAGGAGAGGAGGAGGAGAGGAGGAGAGGAGGGGGAGGGGAGGAGGAGGAGGAGGAGGAGGAGAGGAGGAGGAGGAGGAGGGAGGAAGGAGGAGGAAGGAGGAGGAGGGGGAGGAGGAAGGGGGGAGGGGGAGGGGGAGGGGGAGGGGCGAGGGGGAGGAGGAGGAGGAAGGAGGAGGAGGAGGAGGAGGAGGAGGAGGAGGAGGAGGAGGAGAGGAGGAGGAGCAGGAGGAGAGGAGGGGGGGAAGGGGGGAAGGGGAGGAGGGGGAGGAGGAGGAGCAGAGGAGGAGGAGAGGAGGAGAGGAGAAGAAGTACGAGGAGGAGAGAGGAGGGGAGGAGGGGAGGAGGAGGGAGGAGGCGGGGAGGGGAGGAGGAGGAGGAGGAGGAGGGGAGGAGGAGGAGGAGGAGGAGGAGGAGGAGGAGGAGGAGTCGGAGGGGGAGGGGAAGGGGAGTAGGAGGAGGGAGGGATGAGGAGGAGGAGGAGAGGATTTGAAGGAGGAGGAGAGGAGCAGGAGGAGGAGGAGGGGGAGGAGGAGGAGGAGGAGGAGGGGGAGGAGGAGGGGGAGGACGGAGGAAGAAGGATGAGGAAGAGAAGGGGGAGGGGGGGGGAGGGCGAGGTGGGAGGAGGAGGAAGAAGGAGGAGGAAAGGAAAAGGCGCGTGACGCCTTGGGAGTTGGCGACCGATCGGCACTCCAAATCGGTCGTGGCCAGTCGCTCGTGACCGATTTTGAAGTAAACTGGTTGCGACCAGAAAAATGACATCTGACATAGTGAGCAGGGCAACAGGTAGATCTGTCAGTCTTCGTGGCGATCTCCACTATCTGACAAGGGATATCATTCAGGGCGTGCCTGGCTAAGGCCGCCAGCGGCATTCGGCCTTGAGCGCCCGACGGCGTCGCTGCTGCATTGATGCTACGCGAGACTGCCTTGTGGACGCGCTGCGTCAGCGCTGTTCAGGGATTTTCAACATCCCATTAGGGCTTACACCCTGTTGCCTTACGGACCAGAACTCTGGCTTCGGGCGACCGGTTCGGATATCCCTGGCATCCCCGCAGCGCTGACGGCGAGGCGCAGCTGATGGAACACGCCACGGGCCCCGAAAGTCTGGAGCCACCCGGGAACGCGAGGTGGGATACTCAGGGAGCACCGTGCCCCGAGGGGCCTGGCAGCCGCGGCATGCAATCGTCATTCGTCGAAGACGCGACGCGGAAATACACTGGGAGTACTGGCACACTTTGGGCCTGGCGGCCGCGGTATGCAGGGTGTGCGAGGCCTCGTTCTTCGTTATGACAACCCCGACCTGTCGGGTAAGGACCAAACCTTCAGTGGTCCACGCGGGTTTCTTGAGTCGGTGCTGGACCCCGCTGGTGGCGCCTCCAGCGCGCTCCGCGCGACAGGGAGGGGGTCCCAGAACGGTTCCAGCGCCGATCCAAAAATATTCGAGCGGGCCTTCGAAAGTTTTTCCCAGACAGTGCTTGCCTAAGGGTTTTCACTTGGGTCACTACGGAATTGAATGGGTATGTGGTAGGCTTGTTTTCCACCGCCACCACCATAAGTAGGAGGGGGAGGGGGTCCTTCTCCTCGTCCTCCTCCTCCTCCTCCTCCTCCTCCTCCTCCTCCTCCTCCTCCTCCACCTCCTTCCCACCTTCAACTGATGGTGGTGGTGGTGGAAAACACGCCCATCAATATACCGAGGTGTCGCCAGGTTGCCGCCCCGTTGCCATGTCGCATGCTTCCGCAAACTGTCTGCGTGCGCCCCAGCTGCTGACGTGTGCGCTTGCCGTTTGCCTTCCCCCCCAGCCGAACAGCTTCCTCCTCGGCCCTGCAGGCGCCGGGCTCGGCCGCTGCCAGGTGCTTGTTGAGCTCCTCCAGCAGGCTGCTCTGGCTCTCGATGATCTGCCGCTGCTCCACCAGGGCCTCCTCGCGATGGCGGCGCGCAGAGTCCAGACCCCCTCGCGCCGTGCAAGAATCGGGACGGACAAGGCTTGGGCCATTTCTGGCATCTGGGGGCCCGTGCCGTGCCCCGAGACCGTCGGACACCGACTCGGGATGGAAAGCCGAGCCTCGGGAACGCGGGTCGAGACCTCTGGGCCTCTAGGGGTCACGAGACGTGTGGGGTCTGGAATTGCAGGCGACACCCTCATTTAACCGTCGGAGGGGGGCTGGGAATTCCAAGAACAGCTGCACCCCTCTGGACCCCAATGGCGGGTCCAGTAGACATCAGCAGCGACAACAGGACATGCAGGTGTGCAGAGGAGGTTGATTGGAAAAGGGTCGACCCACTAATAAGCCTCGACTACAGAATTCGCAAGTGGTCGCGCAGAAGGCTCCTGCAAAAACTTTGCCCATACCGCTACTCCACGGACCTCTCCTGGGGTGCATTCTGACCAGAATTCCGAGGCGCATCCAGCGATGGCGGCGAGGGCCTCCAAGGAGGCCCAAAATTAGGAAAACGAAGGAAGGGTAGATGTATCGGTTACATCATTTCTTCCTCGGAGATCGAGGCAGGAGGCGTCTGCGAGCTTCGGGGCGCTTTCTGCACAGTCTGGCTGTCTGGGGGCCTTCGGGCGCTCGGGCGGCAGCAATACTTAACATGGTCAATGATACAACGCCTTCGGGGTTCGCTAGCACACTTCCAGCCTCGGGCCGTCAAAACGCAGCTCGGGTTGAAAAGCTGGCCCCTGGAGAAAGATTCGAGGTCACTGGGGCCCACGTCACGGGAAGCTTGCGACGTCGCAAGCCCAGACCCCCGACGACATGATTGTCTGACAACGTGGGCCCCAGGAGGTCTCGGGCGGGTGGCAATGCGGGGTGACCTACACGGGAGGCGGAGAAGAGGGCCCAAAAGGGGCCTCTTGGGGCCCCTTTTGGGCCTCTACTGGCAGGGCCCCTCCAGGGCCCTCTTCTTCACCCCCCGGAGGTCTCGACCCAAACCCCGGGACTGGTTTCTCACTCTGCTCTTGACGGTCCCGGGGCCCAGCGGAGGGCCCCCCCCAGAGGCTGAGGAGGTTGCCAGCAACTGCCAAACGTGATATCTTCACCGCCAGAGGGGGCCCAGGAACTGGAGGCCTCCTGTTCCTCTTTGTTGCCATCCTTCTGCTGGCCTTCGGGGGCGCCCCTCGATCGTCGACAGCGCCAGACGCGGCTATAGAGGCCTCCCGAATGAGGTCCGAGTAGATGGGATCGAATATCCGCGCCGCATCGCCGATTCATCGCCGATGTACCGGCGATGCGTCGTCGACATCGACGAAGCATCGACGACGTTGACGTGGAGAAATCGGGCCCCGTATCAAACCGCATCGGCGATGCATCGGTACTGCACCGCCGATGCGCCGCGACCCTCCGATCCCAACTGATATCAACAAAAGTACATCCAAGCCTTTCTAGAGGGGACCTAAGTTAGGAGGACCGAAAACATCAGGGATAGGGCTGTTTGTTTGCCGACGCCTCAGAAGAAGCTACCCATCTATGTTTAGGGATATCCCTAAAAACCGTGGGCCTAAATTAGGCCACGAACTAATTGCGTTATTAGGGACATGAGTTGCATTACGGTCGATCCGTATGAGAAGGATGCGCGGTAAGGATGCAAGGGCCTTGGACACCCGTGCCGAGGCTCTTCGAGTGGGGCCAGCCATCGAAAGCAGTCGAGGACGGACCGAAGATGACCGAAGAGGCAAGGATGCCAGGGTACCCTTGGGAAGTCAATCATCTTTACTGTGCGGGTCGACTGCATGCTTGATGAAACTGCTCGGACCTCGAGCTCCAGATGCTCGGGGGAGGCTAAGAGGGGGGCGTCCAAGGGGGGGGGGCGCAAATCATGCCAGGGACGTAATGAAATAAGACGATGCGCCACGAAATCTGAAGAAATATCATGGCCCACGCCATGATTTCCACCCCCCCGAATCATCACCCCCCTCTTGGCCGCCCCCGAGATGCTGCACACGGGCCGGGGGCGGCCCGGCCCTCTGCGAAGGCGCCGGGGCGCCTCGGAGAGAGGCCACCGCACGCCCCCCCTGCATTCCCTTCGGTCGGGCCTGCCCCCTATACAGGGGGATTTTGGGCGGAAGAAAATACGCAAAAAATATCCCCAAATAGTTGAAGTGCTATCATTTGGGCTATGATTAGATCTTATTTTGGGGGGGGGGGGGGGCAAAAAAAACAAAGTTTCTCTATTGTTTTTGGGCAATGTTTGGATATCCCTCCTGCAGAGGGACGTGCCCGACTCAAAGCGCTCCCAGAGGGCGCTGGTCGTCTGCGGAGCGGCCGCCCCCGGTGGCCCTGCCCCCGCCTCTGCGCGCCGCCAGTCCAGGCGGGCGGTGCATCGGCGAGGGAACATCGGCCTGGAGTCGGCGATGCCTCGCCGATATATCAGCGATGGGCCTCTGGCACAGTCGAGGCGTTGACCTAAGGAGCCCTAAATAAGAAACGAGGCCCCCGTTTTCCGCAAGTTGAACTTCGATTCCAGATCGAAAACCTAAGGAAAATCCAAGGCAAGCTGCGAAACAATTAAGGAACACGGAGCCCCTCCCCAACGAAAAGGGTTCCTTCTTCAGGGCCCCGACTGCAGTGAGTCCGGACCTTCCTGGGCAGGTTGGGGCTATGGGGACCCCATCGGCGATCCATGGGCGATTGGGGGTCGATGCATCATCCCCCCCTATGCCTATCCCCCCGTATCGTTGCCCCTGGATCGGAGGCAGGAGCCCGTTTTTATGTTCTACAGCCCGACGAAGGACAGAATAACATCCTTCCACAACATGAGAACCTCCGGCGGCCCAAATAGGAGATAACCCTTCCCCAGGATGCACAAGAATAGTCCATAAACAAGAAGAACCTTGAGCTGCCATCCGCCATCCGCGAAGCGACCTCGATCTGATCCGACCGCGCTCGCTTTCAATTCATTCGCGTCAACGCCCGTGACCGGCCCCGGCCCCCCCTCTCCCCCCCTCCTGGTCACGTCACGATTCGCGCCTGCACCGTCTGGGAATTAACCATTCCTCATCTTTCCTAGACGGCGCTGGCGCGAATCGTGCCGTGACCTCCCCCCCCCGGTCACGCCAGTCATCGCGGGGATAAAGCACTGTTTCATGGTTGAAATTGGCTTCGGTTTGGGGTCGCGTCGTGCGGGCGAGGTGAAACTGCGCAAGGGCGATGATGTGTTGGCCAAGGGTAGGCCCAAGAAGGCCGAATAGGTTCTGTCCCCGTCTCGCGGGTCACCAAAAAAAGTCGGAAGTGTCACGTAGGTCGTCCCGTGGTTGTCCCGTGCGGCAGATTGAAGGTGGAAGTATACACGTGCAGTGCGGAATGCAACTCGACTTTTAGATCGATAGCTCATTAGGTGCACAGGCAGCGCGACTGAATACGACTGAATAGAGCAAGAAAGCGCTATACATATATATATATATATATATACAGAAGCTTTCGACGGACCGCGCGGATTTCCTTCCTGGCGCGCTCCGCGCGCCAGGGGCTGCACCGGAGGCGCCGCCAAGGGGGCCCAGCGCAGATCCAAGAAATCCGCGCATGCTTATGCATGTTTGTTGTTCGACTGAAAGCTCCGCGATCGTGACATAGGCACTGGGCGAGAGCAAGTCCCTTTCAGTTCTCTGCGCTGCATGCTCGAATGTATGATGATGGGGCCCGCAACGTGGGTCTCCCCAGGCTTGCAGCATGACCTCTCCAGGGGCCCTGAGCGCGCCAAAACGGGCCAAAAAAGTTCCAAGAAGGCCCCTGGACGGTCCAAACGGGCCCCCAGACGACCCAAGAGTGCCCCGAGACGGCCCAGGATGACCTCAGGACACTCCAAGTGGCCCCCGATACGCCCAAAGAGACCCAAGAGGGCCCAAAGCATGTCTTCAAGACGCCAAAAAACATGTGTTTGTTCGTTCGGTAACTCTGCTGTCTTAGAGGTCTCGCCATTTCGGGCTTCCGACACTCCAAGGCGGCGCAAGAGGCTCACAAGGCGGCCCAAGATGGACCCAAGACAGCCCAGTAGGGACCCACTGCGGCCCAAGAGGCCTCCGAAGCGTCCCGAGATGGGCACAAGATAGGGAAAGCGAAAGTGCCTTGGGAGCCTTGTCCCCAAATACTGTCCAACAGAACCCTTACATGCCCCCAAGAGCGCACCAGAAGCGCATGAGAGGCCCAAGAGGCACCGACAAGGCCTCCACAAGACACCCTAGAGGCCCAGAGGGGCCTCAAGAGCCTCCTCAAGAGGCCCCGAAGAGGCCCCCGAGAGGCATCCTAATACAGTCCAACAAGCATCCACGGGGCCTCTGGCCCATTACCCAGGCACGGTGGCGCGATGGGCCGAAGGCTAGTAACACACAAGCATTCCTCACATACATACGCACATGCAAACATGTGAATATGTTAGATACAACGACACATACGTATGGCATAGATGACGGCGAGTCTGAGAGTGTCAGCTAGACAGTATTCGGATAAGTGCCAGAATACTTAGAGGGGTTTGAGTGAACAGTAAAATCGTACGACATGGAAAAGTTAGGAGCGCTCGGGCATACTAAGGACATGATACAACGCCAATCGCAAGCCCAAACCAGCACCCATCCCCCCAACTTGCCCATCATCTAAGGAGTGGTAATTACTCGAGGTAGCACAACACGATACCTCCATCAAATCGAATCTGTGGCGGCACCCTCACGAGGCTGGCTGGAACGATCGCGCGCCCGTGCCTCGCCACGGGGGCACCTTATCATCTTGTCTTGAGCCTCGCCATGCAGCCGACTCCGCCGCCGCCGAAAATGTTGGCGATCTAGAGTGCGTTCCTTTATTTTCGACGATGACGGGCGTCATGGGGGGGGGCGGGGGGGGGGGGTAGGACGTAACGCCCCACCCCCCCGCCAGGTGGCTCCAGAGCGCACTGGGGGGGGGGAGCGTTACGTCAACGGGGGGGGGGGACGGCGGGGGCCATGACGCCCGCCATGCCCCGAGCAGTAAAGAAACGCGCTCCTACTTTGTTGTCTTTCCGCCGGCCTCCGCCGAGGGCTAGAGACGCGCCGAAGGCGAGGCGCTTCCTGGAACGGCCGCCGCCCTGAGACAGGCGCCCCCCCCCGCGGTGGAACGCCTGCCGGTGATTACCCCGAAGAGATTGCGCTTTGCTTCTGCATAGATGTCGTTGCTGTAGGTTCGTGCGGCGTGGGCGCGCACAAAGGTTCGTGACACCGCGTCGATCGTTCAACCTGGAATCGCTCGCGGCCCTGATCGTTCCAGGTTGAGTTCCGTCGGGCCCAAGGGCGTCACCGTGCCCCTCGGTGCTTCCGCGTCGCAGAGTTCAACCCTGAACGCCTTCGCTGGCGTCGCTGGCGCACCATCGCCGCATGAACCTACCCTACTCGGGGGAAGGGAGGGGGGTGGGGTTGAGACCCTGGGCAACTGGCAGTAACGCTTGGGCTGGGTGGGGCACGTCGGGGCAGGGGTGCGCTGCGATCGCCAGCGTACGCGCGCGAGCACCACCATGCGGGGAGCGTCCAAGCCCCCACCCCCACGTACGATCGCTACCGCTACCCGGCAGGAGGGGGGGATGGGGCAGGGCCGGGTCACGAACGCCACGCGCCAAAAGATGAACAACAAGAACCTCCAAGCCGCCGACTTATGCCCCCTCCCGCGCCCGCGCGACGAGCGAGGAGCGCTGCCATCTTCGCGCCCCTTCGCGGCCTGCCCAGAGAAGGAGGGCAGCAGCTCCCCTGCCCGGACCGCCAGGAGGAGCGCGCAGCGCGACCGCCTCTGCTCCCCTGCGGCTGGAGTGCCGCTCGTCGCCCGTCGCTCCTCCTGGGCCTGCACGATGTCCCGCAGCTCCCTCAGCCTCCCCTCGTCCGGCGGCGCCTCCAGCACCTCTATGCGGGCACGCTGCCGGGCCGCCTCGAGCTCGAGCTCTGCGATCCGCAGGTCGCGCTCCCGCAGCCACTCGGCGTGCTCACTCGGGGTGCCATCCATCGCACGTCGTCGCGCACGCGTGGCACACGCCCGCGCGCGCGCGGCTTGAGGCAAAATCATTCGTCGCGTCGGTGGAGAAGGTTGGGCATTGCTCAGCCAGTCCCCATCCCCACTGGCATGGCCTTGGCCCCACTGGCCGATTTACCACCCTCGACAGGGACATGGGCTGCTCCCTTCGGGCTTCGAGGCGCCCATCCCCCAGCTGGAAGGTGGGATGGGGCCAAGCTACAACCATAGCCCTGTGGGGATGAGGACCGGATAAACGTTCCCAAGAGGTACATGGCGAAGAAGACAAGAAAATAACGAGAGGGCGGTGGCCATAAATCGCTCGCCGGTTCTGCCTCCGCCTTCAACCGAGGACTCCAAATATCCGCCGCTGTGCCGCACCGCGAGGCGCGAATTGGAGCGTCCTCGGGCCCTCTGTAGTCTTCAGCCATCATTCTTCAGGACTGGGCCAGGGGCGCCCAAGATCTCCTGGGACTCCCGCCGTGCCTCCAGAGCCCCTGCGCGACTTCTCGCGCGACTTGTCCGGGCCCACCCCAAAAAACAAAAACAACCCGAAAGAGCCTCGAGACAGGCACGGTGGCTGGATCGGCCCAAGGCCAATGTATGATCTGCATTGGAACGTCACGCCTGTATCCGCTTTCAACGAAGATTCCGGAATGTACAAAATTTCCTGCATCAGCCCGACCCAACCTCCTCCCCTGCCCCCTCCCTGCGATGCGCAAATGCCGCTCCTGACTTTCCACCCGCGCTGAAAGAGGCTCTGTCGCAAGAGGCCCCACGAACAGCCTGAGGATACACCAGGAAACTCTCAGGACTTCACAAAGATCTCCAAGAATCTCTTTCAGGGCGCCAGAACTCTCAGGGAATCCTACTCCAAAACGGGGGGAGTTCTAATGCGGCAATTTCATCCCCGTAACAATGTCTCTGGGCGCACTTATCATCTGAAATACCTCGGCACCACGCATCCCTAGGCGCGCTGACGGATGCACACGGCAAAATGAAACTCGCACTTCTTGGAGACCTCGCGAAAACGGACTCAAGCTTGGACGCTCCACAACATCTGCCCAGCAGCCTGCAGGGCCCCCGTGTTGGCATGAAAGGGAAGGGGTCCCGAGGGACACGCGTCCTGGACCAGGGGCCGTCCCGAAGATTGTGCCCGCCGCCTTCTGAGAAAGCCTTCTCCTTCCGACTTCCCTCCCAGGCTCGCCGCCGAGCATGAGCAAGAGCGGCAGGAGGGCACGCAGAAGGACGAGCACACCACCGACGAAAGCAGCAAGGACAGGCGGCACCACCAACACCGGCAACGCGAAGAGCCAGGGGGGGGGGTCCTCCCGGTGCTGTGGCCACCCCTCCCCGCCCGAGGCAGCCTCTCTCCCCAGCTCGGGAAGCTCGTGGACACACTCGCTGGAGGTGGCCCCCCTCGGTGGTGGCGTGGTCTCTCCCAATGCCTCCGAGCGGGGGGAGGGCATGCAGGAGGAGGGCAAGGACAACCCCGACACAGCTGATTCCTTTGGAGGCCTGGAAATGGGCACCAACACCAACACAAGGGGGTTGCCTCTACAGGGGGAAGATGATCCTAGATCTCGGTGTTGGTGGCAATATTTCGGTCACCTTGGCAGCCAGAATATTACCACCATCACCGAGATCGGGATCCTCTTCCCTGGGTGGAGGCACACCGCCGATATTGGTGTTGGTGTCAACCTCTAGGCCTGTTATTCCTCAGAGAACCTTCGGTCCGCCCTGGGACAACCGTCCCCGATGGCGAGCAAGCTTGTGCTACACGTCCGATGAATTCCGCCTGTGTCGGGGAAGAATCGGGTTCGGGGGACTCGGGCTGGCCTCAGCGGAGCGCACCCCCACGACCTCATACGCGGCAAACTCGTACCCCGTTCCAGCGGCCACGCTGCATCTGCTACTCTGTCCGGGGCGCGACACATGCTTGCCTCTACCACAAAGATCTGCACTGAACGCTGATTTGGAACTCTCGACACCTGTCTTTCTGCAGCGTTTGTCGAGCCAGGTCGGTCCCCGACGGCCCTTGGGCCCGAGATCGGAAGAGACACGCCAGACACGATCCTTCTCCAAAGCCTTAGAGGGTAACTCACGGAAGCTGTTGGTCGTCCCCATGCGCACAATAGCGCACAAAACGGACATACGGCACTTCCCTCACATAGCGCTGTTGGGCGCTACTGGTCGCTATTTGGCGGCATGTGAGCGCCATTTGGCGCTATTGGGAGCTATTGAGCGCTAGCGGGCGCGACTCGCCGATACATATATATATATATACACACATAGATGTACATTTATATAAATATAAACATATATATATATATATATGTATGTATATATGTGTACTCAGTACAAGAACAGCGGAACCTTCCGCGATTTACCATCTACAAAGCAAACGGGGATCTGCAAAAAGCGGCGGGAGCTCCGCGTCTATGAGAAGCACCTTCCGCAGCCCCGTCAGCCCCAGGACGCGGAGCTTGGTGAGCACCCTGCACGGCAGGCGGGGAGGGCCGAGGAGAGGGGACGGACAGGGGGGGGGGGATGGATTGGTCACGTCTGTGGTGCAAATCAGGGGCTATCGGGCGGCAAGCATCAAACCAGGAACATCCACGGGCTGACACCGCCGGCCGGGGAAACGTCACCAGATCAGCTGGCGGTTAGCACTTCAACCCAGCAGCTGGGAGACAGGGACGAGCTCCTCAAGGACAACATTATTGCTCTTAGCGTGCGAAGGATGCTGACCCTTCCGCCCCCGCTTTAGACTAGACTTGAGGTGGTCACGGCTGGGCCCCCCAAGGCACTCTTCTGCAAGCTTGCTAGGCTGTCCTGATTCGTCCGTGCATCCACACGCCATGCAGGTGAAGAAGCACCCCTCCAGGATATCGAGTCACAAGCAGGTGCTGGGAGCGAGGGTTCGCAAATAGAGCAGGAAGCTCGGGGTGAGCCTGCTTGCAAGCAGGTGCAGGCAGGGGAGAGCCCCGCAGGCTGCGTGCAGAAGCGGAGGAGGCGGGGCGGAGGAAGGGAGGCGAGAGAAGGGACCAGGAGGAGGATCTGGAACAGGGGAGGACGCTTCCCTGCGCTTCGTGACAAGAGTGGGCGGCCACTGTCAGACCGCCTCAGAGTCGAACGCGGTCATCGGAGACCGCCACGCAGCAACGCAAGGGCAGAACAACACCTCGCGAGGAGAGAGACAGAACTTCGGCAGGAGAGCGAAGGGCATAACACCTCACGAGGCGAGAGCCAGAACTTCGGCAGGAGAGCGAGACAACGAGAGGGAGGGAGCGCGAGACGAGGAGCCCGCGGCGCCCACCCGAGGCCCGGCGGTGGCCCCTCCCCCCCAGACTGGGGTGAGCGCCTCGCCTCGTCGGCGCCCCGCGCCAGGGGCTTGGAACGCCGGCGGCGCGCGGCGCCCGTCCGCGAGGGAGCCCGAGCTGGGCTTGTCGGCGGGGCTGTCGCCCCCTCGGCGCCCGTGGCAACATTCTCGGGCGCTCGCAGGGGGCAGGGCAGCCAGCCTCGCAGGAAGCACCCCCGACGAGCGAGGCCTGCAGCGAGCGCGCCCAGGGAAGGGATCGAGCAGGGCAGGTCAGTTCAGTAAACGGCCAATGCTGGCCAGTAAACGCCGCTTGTGTTAAGTCGGGCATGTCCCCCATACAGGCGGATGTTGGGCGAAATGCTGAAAATACGCCCAATCAACATCCCGAAACAATAGTAAAACAAAAAGCAAAAACAACAACAAAACTTCCCCAGACTACGTTTTGACTGTGTGTGAATATTCCTCCTGTTGAGGGGCAGGCCCGACTTAATGCTTGTGAGGGTCGGGATGATTTTGTCCCTCCCTTGAGGTTCGGTTGCCATGGCGCCAGGCGTGCGCCGAGGGCGTCCCCAGGGGTCAGATTTAGATGCGGACAGAGGGGCGCAGAGGTAGCTCCAATTGAGGGGCGGCGGAGGGCTGGCAGGAGCAGAGATCCTCCTCCTCCCCCCTCCTCCCTCCTCTCCCCTCCTCCCCCCTCCTCCCCCCTCCTCCTCCTCCTCCTCCTCCTCCTCCTCCTCCTCCTCCTCCTCTCCTCCTCCTCCTCCTCCTCCTCCTCCTCCTCCTCCTCCTCCTCCTCCTCCTCCTCCTCCTCCTCCTCCTCCTCCTCCTCCTCCTCCTCCTCCTCCTCTCCTCCTCCTCCTCCCCTCCTCCTCCTCCTCCTCCTCCTCTCCTCCTCCTCCTCCTCCCCTCCTCCTCCTCCCCCCCCGTGCTCCTCCTCCTCCTCCTCGTGCTCGCCCACGCCGCATGCGCCATCGTCGGGCTTGTGAGCGCGCCACCGCCGCCGCCGCCACTGTCGTCGCGGTTGTCGGCGGCATCGTCAGGCTCGCGATCGCGCCGCCGCTGCCGCCTCCAGGGGCGCCGCGGGCGCCGAGGGGCGCCTCCGCTGCACGCCGCCGCCGACGCCGCCGTCACTGGTCGGGTGCTGGCGGGACTGGTTTAGTGGGACCTGGCTGAAAAATGCGTACCTGGGGGCGGCCCCCCGGCCCCATTCCACTAGTCGGAACTACCGCCACCTGAAGAAACACCAGCTACAGAAGACTTGGTTAAAGTGGTTATGGTATTTGGGGAGGGGCTTCGGGGCCCAATCACTAACCAGCTCCCCACACCCGGGACTCTGGCTACATCCGAAGTTGGACGGACATGGTGTCGTGACAGGATTGGCTCAGGATACGTTACAGGACTCCGCGCCCCTCGTTTCTGGAGCCCGTGTGGACAATCAGGACATCTTGGTAATCCTGGAGGCCTTGGAAATCTTGGAGCGCCTCATGATCATGACCCCTTGCCTCTCTGACTCACGGCCCTTCGCGGTGTCGAGCCCGCGGGCGCGCCGACGCCGCCGCTGGAGGGGCCCCTGCAGGCGGCGAGGAGGGGCACGCCTGCGGTGCCGCCCCTGCGGCTGCTGAAACAGCTCGGGGTGGCCTCCGCGACGCCGGCGCGCCGTATCGGCCCCGCTGCCGCTCGCGCTGCCGCTCCTCCTCCTCCTCCTCCTCCTCCTCCTCCTCCTCCTCCTCCTCCTCCTCCTCCTCCTCCTCCTCCTCAGTCCTCCTCAATCCTCCTCAGTCCTCCTCCTCCTCCTCCTCCTCCTCCTCCTCCTCCTCCTCCTCCTGCCCTTCCTGCCCTCCATGCCCCTACTGCTGCTGCCGCTCCGTCTCCTCTTCTCGGGGGGGTCGGAGGCGGCCCGCGTCGGTCAGTCAGTCGAGCCTGGCGCCCTAACGGCGCATCGGCAAATAAAAAGCTGCGTGCGCAAGTTGCGGGGAGGGGGGAAGGAGGAAGAAGAGAGGGGGGAGGAAGGAGGACACTGGAGGAAAAACAATTGGCAGGCCCACGGGGCCACCTACCCAAGCGACAAATTTAGACCAAATTTGGCCCAAATTTCTTCCTCAGAGGCGACCCCTGGGACTTCGGGCTCGCTCCAGGGGATCTGGAGACCGCCTCTCGGGGCACGCGCCCAACGGCAACGGCCCGCTGCGTCCGCCAGGGCCTCGGTCCACACCATACAGCCCCTTCGTACCTCGTGGAGCTCAGATGGGAACCTGAGCTAGGAGGAATCCAGGCGCAGGGTAGAGCCGGTTGGCCAACCCGGCCAGAACGGCAACGTGACGCCTTGGGCCTGGCTTTCGCAAGACTCCCCGAGATCTGAGCACCCATTTGAAAATCCATATTTTTCTGCTCAGGGCAGTGGATCGGGAGGAGCCCCTCCTCCCACCTCCCACGCGGGGCTGTGACCGAGGCCTCCAATCAGCAGCAGCAGCAGCAGCAGCAGCAGCAGCAGCAGCAGCAGCAGAAGCAGCAGCATCGAAAAGTCGTAGGGTACACCCAGAAGTGCGTAGGACACTGGCGTGGAAAACTGGGACTAGACAGGTCTGGCTAAATTACAACTGCAACGGCGCCGTTCGAACAACAGATTGCCAAGCTCTTTCGTTTGTCATTCGGCCTCCAACGAGGGTCCTTCAGACCCTTTCGGCTGCCCCCTTTGCGCCCCCAGCTGCAGCTGCACGCCCGCCCGCGGTCGGCGCGGCGTCGGCCTGCAGGGGCTCTCTGGGGACAGCGTGGGGGGCCAGGACCAAGAGGGCCCCCATGAGCCACAAGTTGGGCCCAGGACTTCCTCCGTGGGCGACCTCTGCAACTTGGACCCTGTGTCTAGGAGATTCGGCTCTGGGGGGTGGGGGGGAGGGAATTTGTCTGGGGAGGGAGGGAAGGGGGCGGAGAGGGGGCCGAGAAAGGGGTGGGGGAAGGAGCGGGGGAATCGGGGAATCGGGATCCAAGCGAGGGCCCCTCTGGGGCCGACAATGGCAACAATGGCAACAAATCCATCCGTCCGACCGGAGGGTCTAGGGGGCGGGAAGTCAGGAGGGAGAGTAGGGGAGGAGCAAGGAGGGAGAGCGAGGAGGGAGGGGTAAAGAGGACTGAGGGGAGCCAAGCCAAGACGCTGAAATCCGCCGACCTCCACTTGCCCGAGATGAAGAAGGTGTACGCGTGAGGCATGTGAATGTCCCCCTCCCCCTTTTGCCTTCCCCTGGATCCCAAAATCCGATTAGAGGTCGAGAGGGCCACGAGCTCCTCAACGCACCACCCTCTAGGATGGCTGCAGAAGGGCACGAGCACGCAAGAGAGGCGTCAATGAAGAGGCCCAGGGAGACACTCAATGAACACCAATCCCAGGATTCACAAGATTTGCAATATGTTCTGGGTGTTCGTCTTCCCCTCCACTTCCCCTCTGTTCCCGCATTTCCCTGGGAGTATATGCTAATATGTGTCTGTGTCTATTCTTCCCTCCTGCCTCAAGAACGTCCAACATGGCCTGAAGACGGCCCGCAAGAGGGCCCCGAGAGGATCCCAAGAGGACCCCCAGAGGCAAAACAATTGACTTCCCACAAGAGGACCCCAAGAGGGGCCCAAGAGAGGCTCAAGAGAGGCCCAAGAGGAAATCGCAGGGACACCAGGAGCCCCCACCCACCCCCCCCCGCCCCCCCAGGATGGCCCCCAAGGCTCCCAACATGCCCCCAAAGGGCTCCACAAAGCCTCCGACGCGCGAAAGGACTCCGAGAGGCCGCTCCCGAGGCCGCCAGGAGGCCCCTGAGGAGCCCACGCGGAGGAAGAAGAAGAAGACAAATCAGCAACAACTACGCAGGCAGCACGACGGAAAGCGGCAAGAATCACGCACAACATCGGCAGCCGCCCATTTTCTCTTTGGGGTCAGCGGAATTGCATGCAGTGGGGACCCGACCACAAGAAGTCTTCCACAAGAAACCCAACCCTGAGACACCAGGACGTCCATGGAATGTTGGTGTGGGAGCGTCGCGCTTTCCCTAGCAAGACCATCGAAACCCAAGAAGCCCAGGGCACCCTGGAGGCGAGCAAGGTGCTTCTCGGCATGGGCCTCCACTGTAGGCCTCCACTGTAGTCAGGGAGACAGCACGGCAAGATGAGGATGGATCGGGGACCTCCGAGAGCCTGCGGGCCTGGAGGACGTCGCCGTGACAGACTTTTTCCCAACCGGACACGCGGAGTTCTCGATCCCCTTCCCCAGAACTGGCTTTTTCGTCCTGGGCCGCTGTTTGACGGTCCCGGGGCCTGGCGAAGGCTCCTTAAGGAGGGGAATCGCCGACGCAGTCGTCTGATGTATTCGCGACGCGAGTGCCCCTAGAGGCAGGAAGTTGCCCAAAACCGTCGCCGCGAGCTCTGTCACACCACGAAGAGGTTAGGCGCCCCCGCGGGGCCTCGCAGCTCTGGGGCCCGGTCCAGTACCCGACAGCCTCGGGAGGGCGGTTGCGGAAGGTGGCGGCGGTGCTGCTCTCGTCTGCTCCTGGCCTCCTCCGCCACATCCCTGCATGGCCGCTCGTCGTCATCTTCCTCCTGTCAGTTCTCATCCCCTGCTCATCGTCCTTATCGGCAGCAGCAGCAGAATCGCCATCATCGCCATGATCAGATCAATGATCATCGTCACCACCACCACTATCATCGCTGATACATCGTCGCCACCATCAGCTTCGTGGCCACCACCATCAGTGTCGAAAAGGCTCGTAGCCATCATCATTGTCGTAGCTATCATCATGTCGTCGTCGTCGCCGCCGCCGTCGTCGTCGTCGTCGGCGAAGTTGCACGCGCGCGCTGCGTGATAGGGGGGGACACGCGTAGAAAACCACGGGGCACGCACGCCCGTTGCCTCCTGCTCGCCTTCCCACCTCCGTTTCCGAGACGTCCGGGGCTGTCCCCCGAACCCTCTGAGACATCAGAAACAGTCACGAGCGGCGAGCGCATCCATATATCCAAACCCTCGTGGTCCGGACTTCAGAGCGCGATCCCGTGGACACACGGTCACATGGATACGTTACTGGCGGCGCACCCGCGAAACGGAGCCCCGCGTCCAGTGGGTCGCGGACCAGGGGCCAGGCCCGCAAGGCCGTGAACACGGAGATGGCTCCTGCCCGCGAGAAGGGAAGTATCAGAATCTGAACAATGTTTTCGGCAAAATGACCCCCTGCATGGGGTGTGCGATACCCTAGCCAGGGCCCGCAGCGGTCAAATTTTGCAGGTGGCCGGAGGATTCTCATCCCTCTGCCTCACATTTCTGCTCTGGTGCAGCCATGTGTTTCTGCAGTCGGCCAGGCCACCGTCATCCCATACCTCCGACGCCATGATTTTTCAGTACGCGGTGGCCTTTCGATCTTTCGTCCCCTTTTCCCTCGAAATGGATCGTTTTGCTGTGGGCCCCAGAGCCCAGAAGCGGCCCCTGCAGACTGAGAACTGCGGGAAGATCGGATTTTGTTTTCGATGTTCAAGACCGGTGAAACGTCTTCACAGCAATGGAAGCCAGCAGGGCAGATACCACGGCCCGCCTTTCCTCGTTCGGCAGGGCAGGTCCGCGAAGGCGCTTACGGTTCGCTCCTAGGACTGCGCAGGCTGATCCAAGACTTCGATTTGACAGCTTCCCCAAGTCTTGGTCCAGTGCATGCTCCTCCGCTTCCATCATCAAGGCAACTCGCATGGGCATCGTTTGCTGATGGGGTGGTGGGGATACGCGAAGCGCCAAGAAGTTGTTTTTTTATGCAGGTTTTCTTGTTCGGGAAAGGGACGGGGCGAGGAGGGAAGAGGGGAGGGCGGGATGGAGGGGAGGCGAAGGCGGGACGGAGGGGACGGGAGAGGGTGAGACGGAGGGCGTGGAGAAGGGGGGTGGGGGGGGGGGGGGGGGACGCGCCGCCGCGAGGGGCCTGCGCGCTGGAACGCCTGGAGGTACTCCTCTGGCACGTCCTCTCCCGCCGAGCCAAGGGGCGGGGGATGGGGGGGGAGGGGAGACGGAGCGAGGACGGGGAGGCGCACGGCCAGGAGAGCAGGGGAGAGGAGGGAGGAGGCGGGGGATTGCGTCTCAGACTCGATCTCAGCGTGGCCTTCCGTCCCGCGTCCCTGGCGCTGCCCATCCATCAGGGACGATGATCCCACCGTCGATGGACCATGGGCAAAATCATCGGCTTAGCGGGCGCCAACCAACCGCTGCCATTGCATGCGCGTTCACGAGAGAGGGCCACGCTCCGGCTGTTTGACCGAAGTCTCACGCTGACCACGCGAGCGAACGGCTACAACATCTGCCCAACACGGCTGCACGGCGCCCTGCTGCCCTCACGCGCGAAGACCCTCACGCAACTGGCTCGGGTAGCAATCGTTGCTTCCGCCGGTTTCCTTCGGCTGTCTGCCAACTTCTACGCTGGCGAGGTCGCCCACGTTGTGCGTCAGCCGGCTGCCGCGGGCCATCCGCCAAGCTGGGCCGAAGAAGGTATGTCAGCGCCTCAACTCCTGCCTGCCGGGCTCACTGACTTCCACGCGCGACATTCACACGTTGTCTCAAAGCTGCGCTGTTCAGTTTTGGGCCTCTTGCCTACCACCCCACCCACCCACCTCCCCACCGTTACGCATCAACAGAGCAGAGCAGTTCGGATGGGGCGGGAAGGGTCTAACTTATTGACGGGAGGGGATGGTAGGAGGGCAGGAGGCAGGACGGGAGGAGGAAGCGGTGGGAGTTGGAAAGCATGGACACGTAGTTCTGGCGACGGAGAACCAAGACGTGGGAGGCGTGATACAACAGAACATGCGAAGGTGCTTGTTTACGCAGGTGTGGGAAAAAGGCGCAGCCAGAGAACTCGAGGCACAAGGGGTGAACAGGACTGGCACGATGGCAGGTGGGGAGACGCCTTTTGGTTGTATGGGGCCAGTGCCAGGCAGCCCATGATTGCCAAGCAGGGGGATCGTGGCGATGAAAACCCAGAAACGCCACGAACCTTTGTTTTGAACCAGCGGGCGCAAGCGAGCCGAAGCAGAAGCAGGTGCAGGTGCCGAACGGGCAACGGGCGGGACGCGCCAGAAGTGGGGCACGGCGGAACGCGGGGAGAGCAGAGGATAGGAGAAGATAGAGCCGCTCAGATCGTGCAGACCAACGCCCCCCCGAAATAAGCAAGCCCAAACATGTTACGCCGCGAGCTTACCATCGAATGTAGCCTGGGATCCGTGGGCCTCAAAGTAAGTGCGGCTACCACGGGCTGGGACATGCCATGTTCGCAACGGTGGTTCAGAACACCATGCGAAAAGGTTATGGCCCAAGGAAAACAGGGGGACATGGTCACATCCGAGACCACACATTCTGGTGACGTGGGCCCTCTGGGGCCGAACATGTTCCTAAAACCTTCTCCTTCACATCCATACGTGGAAACTGCCGCAAGAAGCTGCCGTCTTGATCATATCGTGACCAAGAATGCCAGGGTATCCCGGGTCGTGGCTGTTCCGAAACGTGAAACCCCGGAGGTCTCGACCTCTTCCTCACGACCTGCTTTGAATCCCGAGCCGCGGTTTGACGGCCCTGGGGCACAGTAAGGGCGCCGAGACGCCGAAAGTGGCCCAATTTTTTCGGTCGCTCAGGAGCCGAAGCGAAAAAAACACCACGACCGCTGGGCCGAGGGAACTGCCTCTGGGCGCCCCCCCCCCCAGGCTGACCACAGCAGCGGTTACAATCTGCGCGCGGCGCCTTACTTCAAGCGCTGCGCGCATTTCTCACCACTGCTGGCGAGTCAAGGTCGGATTGGGGGGGACACCAGGGACGCGTCCCTCGCCTCAGCGGCTGCGGCTGTCCGCTCTACGCCGAAGGGGGCAGCGATTCTGTTCACGACGTTTGGGGGGAATGGTGTGCGGGTCACAGTTCGGGTCTGCGGCGGCCGTTTGGGGCGATGCAGGCACCACCCACGAGCGCCGGCGCGAACCTGCGAAGCCATCCGGAAACCCTGGACCTCGAGCTCCAATCGATGTCGTCGCGATTTGTCCACCACGCCCGCCCCAGGGGCGCCGCTGTGGGCAGCACCAGCAGCGGAGCCCGGGCGCCGAAAAGCTGCAAGCGGCGCGCCAGCACCTCCGGCAGAGTGCGCGCTCGCGGGCATCGTCGTCGTCCTAGTCTGTCGTCCGTCGCTCGTGTGGTTTTACCGGCTCGGGGGATCAAAAACCATATAGATTATGCACAGCCAGCCACCGTGCTGTCGAAGTAGCACCAGGCCTTCGGACACCGAGGGAAAAGCACGCGGACGTGCTCCCAACGGCAGCGTGTCATTGATACGTGCCCCCCCTCCCAATGCGTTCTGCCACTGGACCCCTCTTGGGATACACCGCCCACTCGGCGTGTGTGAAAAGTCGTCGTCGTCGTCGTCGTCGCCGCCGTCGCCGTCGAAGTCGCCGTCGCCGTCGCCGTCGCCGTCGCCGTCGCCGTCGCCGTCGTCGTCGTCGTCGTCGTCGTCGTCGTCGTCAGCTCCACAGAGCCTGAGGAACAAGGCGAAGGAGAATTATAGTTAAGCCGAACCCCTTCCATGTACCCCTTCCCTGGCGCGGGGGGGGGGGAGGAGGGCGGGGGGGGAGGCCCTGCGTCAGAATACCGCCCACCCGGGGTCCCAGCGGGCCCTGAAGGGGGTCGCCAGCGGGGGGGGGCCGGGGCAGGGTCGGCGGCAACGGCCGCAAGGTTTTTGCAATCGTAAACAAAACAAGAAAATGAGCCAGCGAACACCCAGCTGGGGGTAATTCCGTGCGGGCCACCCAGCTTGCGTCGGCCGCGTGCGCAGGTCGAAATCCTCCCAAGACCTTCATCACCGACACGGGGACAACCACCATCGCCATCGGCAACATGCGCATCGCTACTGTCACAATCGTGCTTGCGCCACAAAAAGGGTTCCCAACGTGTTCAGCATGACGAAATCACTCGGACGACCTTGCGCGCGTGCCGGGGGGGGGGGGGGGGGGCGATCCATGTCAAATAAAATAACACCACGCGGGCCACTCTCGCGCGTCGGCCGCGCGCGCATGCCGAACTCCTTCCCCTGACTTCATCACCGACGCGAGGACGCCGTCATCGTCGTCGGCGTGGTCAGCATCGGTGCCGTCACTGGCCTTGCCGTCGTCGCTGCCACCATCGTCACCAACATCGCTACTACCATCATCGTCTGCAATTGTCGGCGTCGCCATTATACCGTGTCGCCGACTCGCACTGAAGTGCCCGCTGGAAAGCGCCCAGCGGTCAGCCCCAACGCGGCCGCGTCGGTCGCGCCAACCTGGCTGGCCGCTTCGCGCGCGAGCATGCGCGGGCCAGCGCGGCCGCAGAGATGCACCAGCCAACGCCAAGCATTCATCGCAATCGCCGCCGCACGGGTTTTGCAAACCAAGTTGCGGGCGGGTGGATGCGGTGGCTGCGGGAGCCATGGAGTTGACAACTCACTGCGGACAGATATACATTGCACCACACAGGTTGCACCACATGGATGGTACCACGTAAATTGCACAACAAAGATTGCATACGATATATTGCCGCGCACAGATTGCACCACATATATTGCATACGATAGATTGCTCCAGGCATATTGCACAACGCGTACTGCTAGAAACACGCTGGTTCAGGACCTCGCTGACTAACATGTCTTCTTCGATCAACAGTAACTCGCGGGAGCCTTCGGTCGTCCCCATGGGTCCGCGTAGCGCCCAGTCGCGCGGAAAACTGACTCGATGCATTCCCCTCACATGGCGATATTGGGCGCTATTGATCGCGACTGGGCGCTATTTGAGCGCTTCTGGACTCGGCGGTACTCGGCACTATCATGCCATCTGTGGCGTTCTTGGGCACGATTCGTCGATACACAGTGGATTCAAGACGAGCAGAATCTTCCGTGATGTCCGATCTAATTCTTCGGCTACCCGCAGAAATAAATCTCGACTCAGGAAACTACTACTGGGAAGACTTCGTAAGAACAAGTAGAGGCGATTCAGCAAGATTGCAGGGTCAGTCAACCAAACTAGGCCAGACTCGGCTGAACACCAAGCCGGATTAAGCCGGATTAAGCTGGATCAAGAAGGATCAAGCGGTATTAGACTGGCGTAGGGTCTGCGACCACGGATCTATCAGGGCCAATGCAGGTTTTCACCTTCCAGGAGGTGTACCCTTCCTGCACGAGGCAACGCGTACCAATCATGGAATCACAAGGCTGGGTCGTCAAGGTGGCCACGGGAGGGGCCCGTGCCACGGGTTACGAGTAACCGAAGTCAAGGCGCAGCTCGAACCTCCCTCATACATGCGTAATTACCACTAGGAGATGACACCAGAGGCGCGGCGTTCCACAGCGCAGCGGCGGGCCAGGCCAGGCCAAGGGGGGGACACCTGTCGGCTAGTCACAGGAGTGCCGAGGTACTCCTGGCTCGCAGGCTGCGGGAGGCTAGCGCAAGCTGCTTGGCATCAAGCTGTTAAGGGTGACCTCGTTTTCAAGGTGCCAGGCTGCGACAAGCTGGACCCTGCCGCACCACAAACCAGACTTGCAATCAACAAGAGCGGACCGTCACGGTGGGTGCATGGATAGGCGGTGCTCCAAGTGTCCGAGCTGCGACCAGCCAGAACGACAAGGGGCCTCACCGAAGGCCGGCTACCGTTAACTCAACTGGCCCTCCTCTGAGCAACCGCTCTTGCACTCGGCCTCGTCTTCCTCCTCCTTCTCCTCCTCCTCCTCCCTCCTCCTCCTCCTCCTCCTCCTCCTCCTCCTCCTCCTCCTCCTCGTCCTTCTGCTCCTCCTCCTCCTCCTCGACCCGATCCAGGCCAGAGTGTCTGCAGAGGCACCATGAGCAGCAGGAAGTAGTCCACGCTGTCGCCATAGAGCACGCAGCAGTAGGCGCAGCCTGGACCGCGAGGGCACGTGATCATGCGCGCGGGAACACAATTACTTCGACGTCGCCGGCGCTCGGAGCGGCGCAAGCGGGGAACACAGGAGCTTGAGGAGGCCCCTCTGAGGCCCCAAGTGTGGCCGAAATCGGCGCCCTCCGACCGCCCATCTCAAGCACCATGACACTGCTCCAGCAGTTCCGCCGGGGCTCCTTTGGGCCCAGGCGCCAGCTGACCGTACACCCACTCCCAAAGCGCGCGGTCTGAACGCACCACCCGCTCGCCGTGCTAATCAGAATGGGGATCACCGCGGCCGACCGCGAGGTCTGCGATAGCGGGAGTCGTGACAGAAAGGATCATGAACAACCATGAGAACAATTCAGGCCTCGAACGCCCTGAACTATCAAACCAATGTACTCCACCACTGTCAACCTCCACGGCCCGTTCCAGGCTCCAGAACCGTCGAACACACATCTGGGCCAGAAATCGGCCCCGGAAAAAGGTTGAGTGCTCGAAGACCCGCGCATTCAACAACACCATACGTTGAAAGTATTGGCTCCCAACCCCATCTTATACAGGAGTTCTCCGCCTGGCCTGATCCTTGAGGGCGCCTGGAGGCCGATGCGGCGCAAAAACACGCCAGCATGTGATCTTCTCGCGACGACCAGAGATCAGGTCCTTCTCCGCCCCTGTCAAGAGTCGACACTGGAGTCTTTCTACCCGAATATCGAGGGCCTGCGACGGACATATATCTTTTTCGTGAACGCACAGGGGCTCGTAGAGTCAACAACCCGGGGGGCCTCCCCAATTAAACGCCCTATCATTCGTACCCATGCTTTCGTACTCTCCGTCCTCCTCCATCTCGTCATCCACCTCCTCCAGGTCCACCCCCACTTCACTCCTCATCCCACCTTTGTGACTGGATCTGTAGAGGCACCTCCCCGCTGCGCTTCTAACCTCACCAGTCCAGGGGCGATCATGACCTCCGAGGACGACGACGACGACGACGACGACGACGACGACGACGACGACGACGACGGCCACGACAACAACGATGGAGGTGACGACGAAGCAGACGACGAGCAGGACGACGGTGCAGACGACCACGGCTGCGACGACGACCATCATTACGACAACGATGAAGAATACATCGCTGGCGAGGATGACCGACGACGACAGCGAAAACGACGACCACGACGACGACTACAACCACCAACACCCGAGACGGCGATGGAGACAACAACGGCGACGTCGACGACGACCACCACCTCAATAATGATGAATACGACGACGACGACGACGACGACGACGACGACGACGACGACGACGGGGGCGACAACCCCTCTCCTCCGACGTAGCATTTTTCCTCGCGTCGTGGTCCCCAAGGTATTTCGCCACCCTCCACGGGGTTGGCTTTCCATCTAGTCTTCTTTCTACGGCCCCGGAGCCGGGAAACTGCTCCAGGGATAAAAACAAACACTTTTGGGGGCGACGCCGCCATATCCAAAGGACGATCCCAAGATCCTTAGAGCACTCCAGTGGTTCGTTCTGGCCAAAATTCAGAAGCGGACCCAGCCGTCGCGACGAGAAGCCTCCTGGGGCCAAAGAATAAGGGCGATAAGCAGCCGAATGCCTCGGCCCTCGAAGCTCGATGCTCGAGGGCCCCCTCTCGATCCTCGATGCTCGAGGGGACCAGCTCAGGGGAGGAGCATCGCCCTGGCATCGGCGACACATCGCCGAAACAGATGGGCGGCGGGCCTTCGATAACGGAATCGCACGTTCCTTCGCGGGGTGGGCTGACCAGCCCCTGTCGGCGATGAGCTCCCCCCTGAGCCTGCACCCCCTAGTGGTCCTCGTCGTCCGGACTTCAGGTCATACCTCGGCTCTCCGGGTGCCGTCCGGGACGACCCAGGCCCCCCCCAGAGAACGCCTTCGGCGAGGGGCAGCCGCTGGAGCGCACCCCGAGGCAGGAAAACCGCCGAGAACCAGCGACTGTGCCGGAAACGTCAAGCCTCGGAGCTAGGGATGAAGTCTCCCGCCCCTGAGCCTGCCCACCATGGGAGCAAGGAGAAGCGACTACGCCACCACCAGGGACCACCAGCGGGAGGAGCCACGGGGGAGTCCCCCTGGTGGTCGCTCGAGACAACCCTGGCCACCAGCCCGCGGAGGCCTCGTGGGCCTCCTCTCCGGAGGTGTCGCCCTGGTGGTGGTGGTGGGTGGTGGGTGGTGGGTGGTGGGTGGTGGGTGGTGGGTGGTGGGTGGTGGGTGGTGGGTGGTGGGTGGTGGGTGGTGGGTGGTGGGTGGTGGGTGGTGGGGTGGTGGTGGTGGTGGTGGTGGTGGGTGGTGGTGGTGGTGGTGGTGGTGGTGGTGGTGGTGGTGGTGGTGGTGGTGGTGGTGGTGGTGGTGGTGGTGGTGGTGGTGGTGGTGGTGGTGGTGGTGGTGGTGGTGGTGGTGGTGGTGGTGGTGGTGGTGGTGGTGGCGTGGCTTCTCCTCCCTCCCCTTTCCCTCTCAAGGTTGCCCCCGATGGGGGGCGCCCCGCCGAGGCTGGAAAAACGCCGAGAGCAGACGAAAACTCCCGAAAACGTCAAACCTCGAAGCAAAGCGCCCCCCCTCGGGGATGAAGTTCAGCCCACCCTGAGCCCATCCCCCCGAGAGCTGCCTCCGACCCTGAGATCCGACGTCGCGAAAAAAACACACACAAAGATCACGACCAATCTGTCTGAGCCACTTTTCGGGCTGGATCGGGATCTCTCTGTGATGATAAGCAATAAGAGTAGTTACCCCGAAACCTTTGGGAGGGGACTTAAGTTAAGAGGGCCAAGAACGTTAGGCACAGGGGTCTTTTTCTGCAGATGTGTCAGGCCAAATGGCCGAGATCTATTACCCCTAGAACGAAGACGGGGACATAAGTGAGGCCACGTCTCCATCGTGTTATTAGGGTTCGGTGTTTGTTCTCGATGATGTGATGGTCCTGGGACACTGGGCGAAAGTGCACTGCTCGAAAGTGCCCTCAGACGGGGGGAAATGGCTCAAGGGGTGAACATCGATCTGGCATCGGCGATACACGTGTTCAGTCAACCCGTACAAAAAGACTGCGCGGCAAGGACGCAAGGGCCTATGAAGGCCGTGTCGACACTTTGCGCGCGGGGCGCGGCCAGCGAAAGCGGCCAAGGATGGGCCCAAGGGGAAGGATGCAAGGGTGACATTGGAACGCCGCTCATCGTCACAATACTAGGAGGGTTGGCTATACATCGCCCATAGGTCGGCGCCCGGCCCCTGATGGAAAATCCAAACGTTCCTGGGCGGGGCGGGGCTATCAGACCCCTATCGGCGATCAATGGGCGATTTGGGTTCGATGCGTTCCGCCCCTGGGCCTGTCCCCCCCTGACGTCGACTCCCCCCTGACTTTCGGGTCATAGCTCGGGTCCCCGGCGGCCGTTCGGGACGATTCGGGCGAAACCCGGGACGCCCTCGACGAAGCGCGGCTGCCGGAGCGCATCCCGAGGCCAGGCCATGTCCAAGAAACAAGCAAAACGTGCGAAAATCTCAAACATCAATCCCCTGGTGCCCCTTCCCCCCTATCGGTGCCCCTGTTGGGCGGCGGGGGGAGGAGGACGCCCCGCCCGGGGGCCTTCCGTGCTCGCGGCCGGGCCCGGAGCGCCAGGGCCCCCGGGGCTCGAGGGCGCGGCGCTGCAGCTCATGCCGCCGGCCCGCCCCTGCCGGCGCGCGGGGAGGGCGGCGCGGGGCACCCGGACCTCAGACTCCGCGACTCCGAGGGTTGTGGCTTGCAGACCCTGAGATCATTTTCTCTGGAGGAGGAGGAGGAGGAAGAAGAAGAAGAAGAAGAAGAAGAAGAAGGAGGGAGGAGGGAGGAGGGAGGAGGAGGAGGGAGGAGAGAGGGAGGGGGAGGAGGAGGAGGGAGAGAGGGAGGAGAGGAGGAGGAGGGAGGAGAGCAGGGGAGGAGGAGGAGGAGGAGGGAGGAGGAGGGAAGGAGAGGAGGAGAGGAGGAGGAGGAGGAGGAGGAGGAGGGAGGAGGGAGGGGGGGGGGGGAGCGCGACTACCAATGCCGACGCTTCGGATGTGACCGCAATGCCAGCCTGTGGGACGCCAGGCGAACCTAGAACACTACACAAGCCGACATGTGATGGGCAAGCTCATGAAGAGGACCTTGGCCTGGGAGGGAAAGCAGAGCAGCAATGAGAAGGCACTGCACACCCTGAGATCTCGTCGGCGGCGAGCAAGGAGGGGCGGTGAAAATGAGAAGACCTTCTCAGAAGGCGGCGGGGCTTCACAGAACCCCTCCTGCCTTCTGCTTCTTTGGGAAGGCTTCGAAAACTTCTTAGAAAGCCGGGGGATTCCCGAACCTTCTGAGAAGGCCCGCTCCTTCTCGCTTCCCCCCGGGCTCTTTCGAGCCAGGCATTTTCGCACATGTTCGGGCCCCTGGACCGTCACCCGGCGATCCAGCCCGAAGAGCGGCGCAGGAAGAGGGGTCCAGGGCTTCGGCCGCAATGTTGTATGATGCTTCAATTTGTTCGCGACGCCGGACCGCAGGGTTGCAGACCAACTTGAAGAACTCAAAACCAGAACAGCATAGCCGAAACCCCAGCAATCTTCTGGCTGGGCGCAACTTGGGAAAACCTGCCGGTTCTTCGCCCCGCGCCCGGTCAGTCGCCAGCGCGGCAGTGCGGGCCGCCGCAGCCCTATTTTTTGTTTACCACGGGGCGGGCCGACAAAGAAACGCCCACCATGCGGGCCTGCCTGGCGCGCCCCGCGATGAGAGAGCAACGCGCGCTCCAACCGACGGTGGGGGGGAGACGTCGGGGAAGGGCAGGACGACGAAGGCGCTGCAGGCGCGGGCGCGACGCTGTCGGACACCGAGGGGACTCTTGGCAGGTGGACCGCTCAGGCTCTCCGCCGCCTCTGGCGGTGTGCGTTGCGAGCAGGAGCACAGCAAGGACACAGGAAGGCGCGGCATTGAGAGTGTAGCTCCGCACACGTGACACATGCTGACGAGCAGGAACACAGCAAAGCCCCAGGAGAGCGAGGCATTGACGGTGTAGCTCAACATGGACACGGTGGTGGCCGGGGAGCCCCCGTGGCCGAACTCCCGTTCGAGCAGGGACCCATCCAAGAACACACGCCCAGAGCTCCCCCCCAGAAGTCCACCCTGGGCGCCGCGTGGGCGCATGGGCAGTTAGGGGAGCTACCAGTTGTCAGCCCATGGCCCCGGGGGGCGGGCGAAGACCTCGACAAGGATCGCTGCCGCGCCCCGGCGAGGACTCACCAAACCTTTTGCGCATCGTGCCGCTCCTAAACCCCAACGGCGCCGATCGCAAGACACACCCCAGCGCAACCGCACCCGTAGTAATCGCCAACAGACCCCCTCGTATCATGAACGGAATCGCGACGGACCATGCTTTGTGATCTTTGGTTCCCAGGCGCAGATCCCAAGGAGCAGGTCGACACTGTCGGGGGCCAACGTTGTACAGATACACCACGACGACGGGGGTCTGAGGCCTCCGAAGATATGTTGTTTCAGTCGGAACGTTCTTCTTGGATTCCGGCCTCCCGGACCATCAAACGTGGATTCGGGACGGAAGAGTACCCCTAGCAACTAGGGAACGTGCAACTATCGGAAGTTGGGGGGTGAGTCCGACGTGAAACGGAGACCCCCCCTACTGGGAAATCGATTTCGGTTTCGGGTTCGTGTCGTGCGTGCCGTGCGTGCGTGCGGGCGAGGCGAAGCTGCGTGGGCGGGCGAGAGGAAATCCTCCGATTGCTGGGCCGCGGCCGGACCAAATGTAACTCCTCCGGCGGCCGGTGCCGCGCGGTGTCCCGCCGGTGTTCCGCCGGTGTCCCGCGGGTGTCCCGAAATCCTCCTGTGGCTGGGCCGCGGCCGGACCAAATGGTTCTCCTCCGGCGGCCGGTGTCGCGCGGTGTCCCGCTGGTGTCCCGCTGGTGTCCCGTGGTGTCCCGTGGTGTCCCGTTGAGTGAGATCGATCGTGAGATCGATAGTGAGACCGATACTGAGATCGATGTGGTGCCCCGAGGTGTCCTTTGGTGTCCCGTGGTGTCCCGTTGAGTGAGATCGATAATGAGATCGATAACGAGATCGACAGGTGTCCCGTGGTGTTCCGTGGTGTCCCGTTGAATGAGATCGATCAAGATCGATACTGAGATCCATGTGGTACCCCGAGGTGTCCCGTGGTGTCCCGTGGTGTCCCGCTGAGTGAGATCGATAGTGAGATCGATACTGAGATCGACAGGTGTCCCGAGGTGTCCCGTGGTGTCCCGTTGAGTGAGATCGATAGTGAGATCAATCGTGAGATCGATAGTGAAATCGATGTGGTGTCCCGAGGTGTCCCGTGGTGTCTGAGATCGAAAGGTGTCCCGCGGTGTCCCGCGGTGTCCCGTGGTGTCCCGTGGTGTCCCGGTGAGTGAAATCGATAGTGAGATCGATAGTGAGATCGACAGAGGTCCCGTGGTGTCCCGTGGTGTCCCGTGGTGTCCCGTTGAGTGAGATCGATAGTGAGATCGATTGAGTCAGATGTTGGTTCCCCCCCCTCTCCCCCCCCGCAACCTCCTTATCACCCGAAGGGTGGTCGTATAAAGGTACACTTATACTGGCCTGGTGGGTTGTGTGACAAAAAAACAGATCAATGCCCTAGAGCACCGTGGACGCAGCGGGGCCGCAGGAACATCGGAATCCCTGTGATCTGAACACGGCGTTCCCTCATCAGCCATTCCTCCCCCCCCTCCTCCTGCTTCTGCCTGCCCGGGCCCGAGGGTCAGTTGTCAGCCCTCTCGGGCGCCTGCCCTGCAGACGGCGTGGCCGCCAGAGCGGCGACAAAAATGGAGGTGGCCTTTACGCGCGGCCGCGGGAATTCCTTGTTCCAGCCGGTCTCGTGGAAGCTGCGCGGCCGCGTAGCGACGGACTTGCAGAACCGCCTTCGGGCCGGCCCCCCGACAGTCGCCGCGCTGAAGCTTCGCGCGGTGGGCTGGGAGTCCCTGCTGGAAGGCCGCCCAAACTGTTCGGGGAACTGCGCAAGCACACCGTCGCACCCAGGCACGCGTGTCGCGGCGTGGTGACTTCGGGGGTGGCCAAGGACAAGGGCCACTTCAGCGCTCTAGCCTCTGCCTGCGGCCCCCGTCGTCTCTGAGTGGTCATGCGGAAACGAGTCCCGGGGCGCCAGGCGCCCGTCCTCCAAGCCGCGCCACGCTTCCATGCCAGCCGTGTTTCGTGGCAGTCGTTCCGCTCGCGGGCCACAGCTTCCGCGCTGCCGCCACCTTCGCGCTCGAAATGCGACTCCGGCACTCCCTGCGCGGGAGAGTGCGGCACCGCTCCCAAAATCCCAGCCTGGGGGGCACAACGAGTTCCTGCGAGCGCATGGTGACTCCCAGGGTTTCAGTCAGTGACAAAAAAGCCAGCAGTGAGCACGTTTTCCAAAACGCCCCTCCCTCCACAGTCGGTGACACAACCCACAACCTGCCCAATACACCAGGTACCATATGTACCGAAACACCCTCACGACTTTCCTTGGCGGCCCATGGGCGGCATCTCGGGTGAGTGCTCCACACTCCCGGGCGGGCACTTCTGGCACATATGAGTGCGAGCCCCTTCGCGCCCAGCGAGCGGATCACGGGGGCCGCAGCCAGCGTGCCGAAATGGCTCTCCGACAGGGGGTCCGAGTCAGCCGCGCGAACCTGCAGCGCAGTGCTCTTTCGGGAGACCGTCCCGAAGGCGCCTCTGCAAGTCCGTCGCCGTGCGCCCGCGCAGCTTCCATGATAGGCCTGTTTTCCACCACCACCACCATAAGTTGGATGGGGAGGGGGTCCTCCTCCTCCTCCTCCTCCTCCTCCTCCTCCTCCTCCTCCTCCTCCTCCTCCTCCTGCTCCTCCTCCTCCTTCCCCCCTCCAACTTATGGTGGCGGTGGTGGAAAACACGCTCCTGATTCCAAGAGACCCGCTGGAGCAAGGAATGCCCGCGGCCACGCGCGAAGGCCACCTCCGCTCTGGTCGCTGCGCTGGCGGCCACGCCGTCTGCCGGGCAGGCGCCCGACAGGGCCGACGGCCGCTTCTGCAGGAGACACGGGGCAGCGGTACACGTCGGTCGGAAGAAGTAGGTAGAAGTATGAAGTAGGAAGGCGGATATAGTGCATTGGGTCCAGGCCCTCTCAGAGAATTCGCAGGCCCAACGGGCCAGAGGCGTGCTAAGATCTCCGGTAACTGCTAAATAATACTTCTACTTCGCGCGCGCGGGGCGGCCCCTGGGGGTCCCCGGACGAAAAGTACCCCGGGCGATCCCCGGCAGACTCGGATCAGAGATGGTTTTCCTCCTGGGCGGCGCCCCCGTGGCCCTCCAGAGAGCCCCAAGAAGGGCCACGAGGCCGCCAAGAGCCCTCCAAGATGGTTCAAGAGTGCTCCGAGATGCCACACGATCGTTCCAAGACGCCCAAGATGGCCCCCAGACGCCCCAAGAGGCCTCCAAGAGCACTCCCCAGAGGGCCCCAAGAGGCAAAATTCACTACTATTCCGTAGGTTTTGGGCAGACTTGGGCGTGTCCATCTTTTCGGCTTCCCGACGCCCCAAGACGGCCCAAGAGGCCCCCAAGATCGCCCCAAGAGGGCCCAATAAGCTCCCAAGAAGGCCCCAAGATGGCCCAAGAGGGCTCCAAGACGGCCCCAGAGGCATCCAAGACGGC